AATGACAGAAACACTCGCAAAGATTCTTCAAATTCCGCTTCGCAATCAAACGAGATCTCATTCTCGACAGAAAATCGCACAAATGTAGAGTACGCCCCTGGACCGTCAAACATTACTCAGGCTCCAGTTGATAACAATTTAAATAACTCTTCTAGTTTTTGTGGTAAAATAACCTCAAGTTCTCGCACTTTATTGTCTACAGCAAACGTGGAAATTTTAGATATACATGGAAAATTCAAAAAAATACGCATTTTAATTGATTGCGGCTCAGAAATGAGTTATATTTCAGAAAATTGTTATCGGCGTTTGGGACTCACAAAATACAATTATTCAATTACTGTTCAAGGCCTAGCGCAAATGCAAGATTCAACCTCAAAGGGCGCCGTCACGTGTACTATAAAACCCGTCGACAAAGCAAACCCTTTAATTACATTTGATGCAATAATTTTCTCCAAATTATGTAACGAATTGCCTACGTACTCTATTACGAATCATGAAAGATGGTCACACATAAAAGGTCTGCCCCTAGCAGATGCCGATTTTTATAAGCCTTCCGAAATAGATATTTTGTTAGGCGCTGAAGTCGTACCCTACGTCTTGTTAGGTAATAAAAAATTCGGTGAAATTAATGAACCGGTAGCACTAGAAACGGTGTTCGGTTGGATATTAATGGGCAAATTGGATAATTCGCGAAATTTAAGTAACACTCATTCATTTTTTCTTGCAAATAAAATCGATATTGACCGTACAATAAAATCATTTTGGGAAATAGAAGAAGTTCCTCAGTTAAATAAAAATTCACCTGATGATGATCTTGCGGAAGAAATCTATCAGAAAACTCATTCTAGAACCGCTGAAGGACGTTATGTCGTTGAGTTGCCGTTTAGAAATTCGGAGCCATTTTTCGAGTTTGAAAATACAAGGAATCTTGCCGTAAAACGCTTTCTTTCGCTAGAAAGAAAATTAAATAATAATTCCAAATTATATTCAGAATATTCTAAAATTATTCAAGACTATATTGATAAGAAAATTTTAGAACCCGTCATAGACAATAAAAAAATTGATAATGTGTTCTATATTCCGCATCATTGCGTAACCAAGTCCGGTTCTGACGCGCTGCGCATAGTCTACGACGCTTCTGCTAAAACTAATTTTGGTTCGTTAAACGATCAGCTTCTCCCTGGTCCAAAGTTGCAAAACGATATTACGCGCATTTTACTTAATTTCAGAATTCACCCGGTAGTTTTTACCAGTGACATAAAAGGCATGTTCACACAAATATGTGTCGCAAAAAATCATGTCGACTATCAACGTATAGTTTGGAGATTTTCTCCCCAAGAAGACATCAAAGACTATAGATTATTACGAGTTACATTTGGATTGTCCTGTTCACCCTTTTTAGCAAATCGGACAATAATTCAACTAATAAAGGATGAGGGCACGCGATTTCCCAATGCGGCAAAAATTCTGGAAAACGATATTTATGTCGATGATGTGGTTTCTGGATCGTACTCGCTCGAAAATGCAATACGCACACGTGATGAACTGATAGAATTGTGTAATCGCGGAGGATTTGAACTTAGAAAATGGAATTCTAACATACCTACATTTTTGGAAGGTTTGCATAAAGAGAGTATTCATTCAGAATCATTTTCCTTCGTAAACGACGATAGTCCATTTTTAAAAATCTTAGGTCTACAATGGCACACAAGTGCAGATACATTTTCCTTTAAAATTGAACCAAAAATCGAAACGACTTGTACTAAAAGATTAATTCTGTCAAATATAGCTCGCATTTATGATCCGCTAGGATTTTTATGTCCTGTAACATTTTTTGCAAAACGCTTTATTCAGCAACTTTGGTGTCTAGGTATCGATTGGGATGAACTTCCCCCATCTACCGTTTGTGAAAAATGGCAGCAATTTATTTCCGACTTACCAAAAATTTCTAAATTTAATTTACCGCGTCGCTTTACTATACATAATTATGATTATTGTCAATTACACGGTTTTTCAGATGCATCTGAAAAGGGATACGCCGCAGTTATATATTTTCGCTTTAAGAAAGACAATAATTACTATATATTTTTTGTTATAGCAAAATCTAAGGTATCACCTTTAAAAAGGGTTTCAATACCTCGCTTAGAATTACTTGGTGCCGTGTTACTTTCAAAATTAATGCAATTTATTTTGGAAACCTTTGAAAATAAGGTAAAATTTTCTGAAATTTACGCTTGGACTGACTCTTCAATCGCACTGACATGGATTAAATCGCCCCCTCACAAATATAAAACTTTTGTAGCTAACAGAATTTCTTATATTCAAGATAGAATTCCACCTGCTCTGTGGCATCATGTTAGGTCGATCGACAACCCCGCGGATTGCGCATCACGAGGTTCTTCAGTCTCGGAGTTCTTAAGTAATAATACGTGGTTTACCGGTCCTCCGTGGTTATCCCAGAAGGATACATGTTGGCCTACGAATTTGAAACACACTTTAGAATCCGTCTCTCAGAAAGATCTTGAAGAAAAAACGTTAATTTTTAAAACATCTTGCTCCGACAATTTTATAGATGCTTTAATTGAAAAATATTCTTCACTTTTAAAACTAAAATTAGTTCTTTCGCATATTTTACGCTTTATTAATAATGTAAGAAGTCGCAATCGCATATCAGGCAATGTTACACATTTCGAATTAAATCGCGCATTAATGACCTTGGTGAAACACGTACAACATTATCATTTTTCTCAAGATATATCGCAACTGTTAAGGAAAAAATTGCCGTCTAGACCATTACGAAAACTGAACGTATTTCTTGATGAAAAGAATATTTTAAGAGTTGGCGGTCGGCTAAAACATTCTTCGCTTTCTTTTGACGCAAAATTCCCCGCACTACTGCCGAGAACCTCGCGTTTAACTAACATGATTATCGAAGACTTTCATATTTCATTTTTACACCCCGGTGTCCAAACTTTGCACTTCTTACTCGTACAACAATTTTGGATTTTATCCATGCGCCGCGCTATTAAGAAGTGTGTGTCCAATTGCATAAAATGTTGGCGCGTTTCTCCAAAACCCTATCAGCCTCCAATGGGCGATTTGCCCGCCGCTCGGGTTTCAGAACTTAAACCGTTTGCACATGTTGCTGTAGATTATGCGGGTCCATTTACCATTACTTTAGGAAAAATTAGAGGCGCAAAAACCCTCAAATCGTATATTTGCGTTTTCGTTTGCTTGAGTACAAAAGCAATTCACTTAGAATTAGCTTCAGATCTTAGCGCGGATGCATTTTTAGCTTGTTTCAGACGCCTTTTAGCCCGTAGAGGCAGATGTGAAAAGGTCTACAGTGACTGCGGGACAAATTTTCAAGCAGGCTCTAAATACATTCACAATTTATTCAAAAATGCAGTCGAGAGCAATTACATTCAGTGGCACTTTAACCCGCCTTCGGCTCCGCATTTTTCTGGTCTCGCTGAAGCTGGCGTTAAATCGGTAAAAACGCATTTATATCGTGTAATCGGAGAACAAATTCTCACTTACGAAGAATTGTATACTTTGTTGTGTCAAATAGAGGCACTATTAAACTCCCGTCCGCTGTATCCTCTTAGTAACGACCCTAATGATTTATCAGTGTTGACACCTGGGCATTTTCTTAATTTGGAACCTTTGACAGCACTTCCAGATCCTGATTACACAACTTGCAAATTGAACTCTCTAAATAGATTTGAATTAATACAACGCTTTCGACAAGAATTTTGGCGCAGATACAGGGACGAATATTTGCACCATTTGCAACAGAGGCAGAAGTGGTTAGAACCCACTTCTCCCTCTGTCACCATAAATAAGCTTGTTCTCATAAAAAACGATATAATGCCTCCGCTAAAATGGAGTTTGGGGCGCATTATTGCTCTACATCCAGGTCGAGATGGCGTACCGAGAGTTGCCACCGTCCGAACTCAACAGGGTACTTTTAAAAGACCCTTAGTCAAGCTCTGTCCTTTACCAGAGCAGAATTAGCAAAAGTATATATATATTTTTTAATATACTTTTGGGGGGGGGAGTATGTTTATAAATTTAATTTATAATTCTTTCTTTTTTTTTATATATATATTTTACATTTAATTTGTATTTCTTATTAATATCAAGCTTATTTTTGTTGCTTAATTTATTCATAATTTATTCATAAAATGTCATGTCTTGAATCGGCACGATTCCGCCTGCGCGAGCGAGGAGAAGAAGAAAAGGAAAAACGACATGTGGCAGAAAGCAAATACGCGTATCCTAGGTAAAAGCAGTGCTCGCCTAATTAAAATTTTCGCAAAACGCATAAATACCCAGTGCCGGAGAAAACTCTGAAATCATCGAAGAAAACTACGCCGAAGGGTAAGTGCCGATTCAATTCCATTTTCTTGTTTCATACAGTCCATTTAATTTACTTTTTCTTACACTGAACCAGCGCGTAACGCTAAATAATATGAAATTTACAACACATATTTTAGCATATTTTTGACAATCTGGGATGTAAAATCCGCTATTAAGGTTTGCTCTCGCTTTGTAGTTTGTGACCATCATCGTAGCTCGGGGCCTGGAACGCAAACCTCATGGGAGGCGCACCCGCCAACCCATACCCTGGGCGTTCATGATTTTAGCTACGACACTATTTGTGACTTTCTTATTATTGAGAACCGCGACATAAATGGAATAAAACTGTACAACCCATTTGCAATTATTTAACATATCTATTTGTCTTCGATATTCAACAATGATTATAAAACGACGTCGTAATTTTTTAATTTATCGCCAATAGCAATTACCTAAAGCACATGATGGAATTGCAACGTTAATATTCCGCTAGTAGCGGAAAAATTGCAGGTTATTATGAAACGGTCTCACTGAATAGGCATCTAAAAATAGTATTGCATGCATGTGATTTTAAATTCAGTTTACCTCCCACTGAAAGATATGGATAAATTGTGGTAATTAAATCCAGTCGACCGTTACAAAAATAAACAGATTGTTTGATATTGTGTGTATGTGTGGAATATTTGTAAAGCCACGTTAAGATTCTATGGATTTTCTAGGGTAAGATCGGATTTCCTCATATATATTTTTTTCTCCTTCAGTGTGTTACCTTCAGTCGGCTTCTTGAGGCCGTTGTTTATACAATGTGTGTCTAAGTCCGTATCATAATATCCAGAACGTGTTGCTTGGATCATTTTAGGACAAAAATTCCCGAAAGCCAAGGTGTTGAAATTTAAAACATGTAGCATCGCATTTTTCAAATGTACTGGAAATCTGTAACGTAGATTATTGAACTTAAGAAGTTACTAAATTGGTATATAAATATGTCAATTAGTGGTAGAGGTACGAGGAGGAGACACCATCATTGAAAACACCAAAATTATTTCTGTACCACTGAATTTTTTGGAAATTCATATGATTCGTAATTGTATTTTTAAGAAACAAATCCAAAATTTTCATTTTTGTTCGAAACATTGTTACATTGCCACGCAGTTAAAATCGAAAACAACTCCAAATCTATTTGTTTCAAAAATATTTACAAGAACTATTTATTTCAAATGCAGTTTTAAATAAAATTTAATTATCTGTCAATTAGCGTGAAGTTACAGCTTCCAAATAATTTAAAATATTTATACTCTATTTAAAATACACGTTTAAACATGAACTTCCCATAACTACATTTTTTTATGGATCAAGTTGTTTTAGAGATATGTAGTTGTTTAATTGTGTAGAAACGACTCCTCTTTTAAATAAAATGAAAGATCTTTATTTCCTTGAAATACAATTAGGAACCAAATGCGCCCATCGAATTAAAAGGAAACCTCAGTGACGTAGAAATTCTAATATTTTGAATGACAGCTCCGCAAGTGCTTGACATATTCATATACACTGACATTACCGACATTTTTAATAGGGCGCTCTATATTTTACAATACAGGGTGTTCCTAAATAAGTGTCGCAACGGAAAACTGTATATTTCTCTTGATAAGAGAAACATTTTTTTCCTCTTCCATTTTTCTCTCCGGACTTTCGTTTTCGAGATACACGGTGTCAAAACTTTTTTTCAGATTTTTGCTAATATCTTAGGAACCAGGACTGAGCTTTTGTACACACATTACCACTATTAATAGCTACTTGCTGCAAATGTTGTTGAATTTCGTTAAACTTGTTAATTATTACTATCTATCTTTTGAATTACAAAAGATTTTCGAAACGTTTTCAAAATGTTTGTTTTTGTTCATAAAGAGTAATTTTTCTTGAAAACGGTTGACTTTAGAGCAATGAACCAAGAGAACTCTTTTTGTGTAAAATTCATTGGCGCTTCAGAATTTGCTGTCAAATGTCAATTTTTCCAGTGGCGTAAAAGTTAGGGGGGAGAAAACCCTTACGATACCTTAAAATCTCCACCACTGGCACGTTCAATGAATTAGAGAAGGGTGCAAAAAAGTAGCTAAGTAATAGTGGTAATGCGTATACAAAAACTCAGTCCTGTAGTTCAAACGGTTCCTAAGATATTGGCAAAAAATTTTAAAAAAAAATGAAAGTTTTGACACCGTGTATCTCGAAAACAAAAGCCCGGAGAGAAAAATGGAAGAGGAAAAGAATGTTTCTTTTTACAAGAGGAATATACAGTGTTCAGTTGCGACACTTATTTAGGGACACCCTGTATAAATAGCCCTTCTAAAGACGAATTCAGCGATATAAGGTTATAGGTACATACCTACTTTTTTGTCATAGTTGTCAAAAAATGGAGGAATTAAATGAAAACAATAATTTAGTAGGTACTACTTTTTATTTTATTACAGCAAATGTTCAAAGTGACCCCCATTAACCATTGCACAATGCTCAATTCGATGTTCAAAGTTATTAATTACATTTGGTGTTATGTTTCGAACTTCTTCTCTGATATTTTTCAATCCTTCGATAGTGTCTGTTCTGTTCACATACACTTTGCTTTTTAGATAACCCCATTAAAAAAAATCATATCCATCGATTTGGGAAAACTTTATTAAGGTAATTTCTTACATCGAGGCGAATATGTGGAGGGGCACCATTTTGTTGGACCCAGACATCACCAGCAGGCATATCGTGCTCATTAGGGTTAGGAAAAATTAATTCCAGGGCTGGAATCGGCTGAAAACCCAAAAAATCCAAATAAATGTCGCCTGTCAAATTGCCCTCAAAGAAATAAGGACCCAGTATACAATTTCCTACTATTCCAGCTCAAACATTCACTTTTTCCGGCCGTTGTGTATGTTTTTCTTGCATCTAATGCTGATTTTCGGGGCTCGAAAATCTAGTATTTTGCCTGTTCACGGTTCCATTCAAGCTAAAAGTTGCTTCGTCAGTGAAAATTATGTGATTTTTAAGTTGTCTTTCAAATAAATTTCTAATCTCACAAAACTGTAATCTTCTGTCTGTATCATCTGCCCATAGTTCTTGTAAGACGTTAACTTTGTAAGGATGCCACTTCTAAGACTTTAGAGTTCTGTGAACTGAGAACTTCGACATGTGGAAGTTGGCTGACTGTGAAATAGATCTGGATGACTGAGGATTTTCAGTAACGGCGAGCATCACATTTTGACTTTACGCTTACCGTACTTCGCCGTCCTGATCCAGGTAAATCTTTTATACTACCGATTTCTTTAAACTTTTTGGATACTTTACTTATTGTAGCTCGACTGGATAGCTCTGGTCTGGATACTTATGGTGAAATAAGTCACATACCTCCTGTTGACTACGGATTTTATCTCCGCATCCAATCATAATTAAAATTTTAATTCTCTGTTTTTCGCTTAAACGGACAACTATTTTTCAAAATAATTTAACAACGAATAAATTGAAACTAAAACGATTCACGTTATACCTAAGGTAGTCTGGTGAATTTTATGTGTTTATGGATGTTTTTTGTGAGGAAAAAAATTAAATTAATTAATTAAATTAAGTAGACAAAGATTGATAAAGAGGAGTAGGTACGTTTTTAAAGTACAGAAGAGACTATGATTGTTTGAAATAGTCGTCAGTACGACATAAAAGACAATTTTTTTCATTTTTTTGACAACTATGACAAAAAAGTAGGTATAGCCTTATATCGGTGAATTCGTCTTTACCGGGCTCTATACTATAAAATATAGTATTATTAAAAAAAAATGTCTGTCAAACATGGTTAAAAAAATAGAAAGTATTGCAGGAAAGTGATAATTTCTATTTACTAATGAAAGTGTTTCAACGGTTTTTTAAATCTGAACTGGAAAAAAATATGAATTTTGTTCTATCATTTTAGGACACATTCAAAAAATTTTTCTTTTAGTTACCTAAACCACTAGTCTAAACATCAATCTACAAAAAATATCTTCTGGGATAGTTTAGTTGAAAATATGTAATATCTCTTTAAATTCAACATTAACTTGGAAGCTATTGTAGTAGCTTTAGACCCCTAGTTTGCTTTTTGCTCTATGCGTTAATAACGCATAGATCCATATATTTTGATATTTGATCTTAGCCATTAGTTGCTATTGTTCTCTTTTGCGACAAGCTTCATCATAAGATACTTATCGCCTGGTGCTTCTCTAAGACATGATTACTTATCAAAATCTCGAATTTTCTTGAAAAACACTCTTTTCTTTTGTAAAACGCTAAAAGCTTGTAGTCTTATCTCGATTGTTTTGTAGGTTTAACATCGTTCGAGAAAGATAATGATTTTTATATTTTTAACTTTTCCTCAAAATATTCCAGAAACATATTTTTTAGCGCTTTACTTAAACGCTTTTATTTTGGCACCATTAATATACGATATTTTGTACTTTGTACTGTTTTTTTTGTCGTCGTGAGGCAGTAAATCCAAAATTCCCTTGTCGGAGAAAATTACTCATTTTCTCGAAGATTATTGGAATAAAAATATAACTTCTTATAAAATAAAATGATACTTTCAACATATAAATAACTTTCTCTTCACCTCCTTATAAAATACACATTTTTTTACAAACATAAACACACAATCATTAAAACATATTTGTTATTTAGAATTTAGACCCTTGAATATACAAATTTTAACTATTCTCATAATAATTAACTCTTAATTAAAGATAAATACAATTATGTAAATTATTAGGATAGTATATCCTTGAGATATAAACCAGCAGTTTATTTTCTGTAGGTAGCGATTGTTTTCATTAACAATCCTAGAACTCTGTACCAATATTTTATTAATTAACTTCTATTTTTGGAACGTTGATGCTGTCAGTGATTATTTTACATTTACAGTGTAAAAAAACAGCAGAAATAATGCACTAGCAAACGCTAGTTTGATCATAATAATAGCAACGAGTTATTGCATTCGGAGGTTTTAGGTGTTTGTTGTGTCTGATATTTTAATCAGACCCTGGGAATGTATTGATCTTTTATGACTCAACGAAGAAGTGATATTATAAATTGATAATATTCTAACATTTTTTATTGATTAAAAGGTTGTGATGGAAGTACCTCCGGCGATATATTTTCTTTCATGACTAATTTCACTGTCACTAGAGGCATTAATGTTTGATTTTTTAAATATTTTCTTTTTCCCTAATGAAATGGAAAACACTGGTAGCAAAATCTGAAAATTGCCTTGTTGAAAGTACCAACAGTTTTATGAAACAATTGATGTATATGTGTGACAAACCAGAAACAATTGTCACCCATTTCACGAACTGGCGTAATTCACAAAAATTTAAATTTGAGATACCTCGCCTAACCCAACCAAATTACCATGTTCTACATTTTCACAAAATGGCCCAAGTCGATTTATTATAGTTTGCTTGATAATGGACACAATGTTGTCGGCGTACCTCATTTCTAATTAAGACACAATTTCACGAACGGGCGCAAGTTGAGCTCAAACAGTTTTTCTTGTGTTTATTCCGCTAAAGGAAATGAAGAAACGAAAGAAAACTTACGGAATAAATACGAAAGACACATAGAAGAAAAGATTAAGCTAAGAAAAATTGAGGCACTGTATAAAAAAGAAGCATGTGCAAAGCTAGATGAGGTAGCTTGTGCAGAAAGCTACCTATATTTTA